TTTTTTTTGGGGGGCGGTCTTTTTCTTTGTGAAGGAACCGAGTTTTTTTTTTTTAATCGGGGGCCTTGAGGGGGGGGGGGGGGGGGGCGGGCAGGCGGGCGGGGTGTCATGTTTGGCATGGGCTGGCAGATAGACGATTGATGGAGCTCTGTTACCAAAAGACCGATCACCGATGGTCCATCCTGGCGGGAGGGGGGGCTGGCGGCGTGAATAGTTATCTGCTGGTACGCAGCTGTTAGTATACTTCTAAGTACTGCTTTTATCTAGAAGTATACTATACGTCCTCCCCCAACACTAACAAGAAATAAATACAGGTAGTTTCCGCTGACGCAATGAATCCAGTTATTGTTAATCAATCTTAAGACTCTTTTCTATCGGTGGGGGTATACGTTGGTTGTGTCGTACTAAGAAAACAAAAAATAGTCGTTGCCTGCTTGTACGTGCAGGTGTTGGAAATACGCACGCTATACCTCACCACCGCTGCCTGAGTGGGAGCGTCTCAACGGAGGAACGGGTTGGTGATGAGAAAATACGACCCTAAGCTATTCCACTTGCAAGCATCTGCAGCTGCTGCCTATTCCATCACAAACACCTGTTGTGGACTGTACACAAAAAAGCAACAGCAGCAGTGCTGGTCTACAGTCTGAGCAGCGGAAAATACTAAACAGCAAAAACCCAACAATAACAACCCACGCTCTCTCACCCAATGGTATCGTACTCGTACTTGTCCCACCCCTCCGGCGGAGGACACCCCGCCTCCGACTCCATCAGCTCCTTCCCCATGGACAGGAGCTGGTTAACGCTGTACGTGATCTTGAAGCCCGTGCCGGAGGCCTTCTTTCCCCCCAGGCCGGCCCGCGTCGGTGGTCTTCGCATCATGACCGCTTGCCCGCCGCCGCCGCCACCGCCGCCGCCGCCGCCGCCGCCGCCCTCCGCCTACCCACCACCGCTCGGCGGCCACCCCGGCCACACTTTTTCAGTGTGTCCCCAAGACCGCCTTGGCGTAAGTTTTCGTGAAGTTCCTCAAAAGACAGAGTGATCCAACACCACCGTGCGGTAGTTTTCCACTAGGAGGAGTTTCCGCAAAGATCCTCAAAAGAGAGAGATCAAATGGCTGCCGCCGCTGCCGTCGCCAACCAATAATTCAACAAGAGTAGCTCTAGGAAACCCCGTCCGTTTTTTGTTGTAAACAGAGAGGTGCTTTGTAGGCGAGGAGGGGCAGGAAGGCTGCCAAACCCGCCGCCGGTCGGGCTTACACTCTCTCTCTCTCCCCCGACAAGCTGCCTAAACACCGCGTTTGTTGTTGGGCCGCCGAAGCACAAAGGAGGGTCTTGGGCACGAGCCTCTGTCACCAGAACAGCAGTCCGTGGCGAGCAGACGGGACCAATTGCGGCCCTAGCCCACACGCCCCTCCCCAACGTCCGAGATAGTCCACCACTTTCCCCAAGCTGTACCGGTGGTGCCGCAGTCAGTCCCCCCTTCCTTGACCTCTTCCCCCGGACTACCACTACTGGTCACCGCAGGATTGATTGCTCTTTTCTGCGAAACACGCTCTGATTAAAAACGCGCGCGTGAGCGTGGGCGATGGATTGGCCTGCCCGCACCCCTAGTTGTTGTGCTCGAGAGTGCTGCTGGCGGGCGCTTATCTCACTGCTGCACCTCCTCCCGGTGTTGAGCGTTTCGCCGCAAATTGACCGCCGAGGGCGACAAGGTTCCCCCGCCTCTGCTGCGCGAGCGCTGCCGTTGTTGTAGGAGCAGCGGCTGCAGCTGTATCGCGCCCTTGCGCCCTAACGCGAATGCAACCAACAGCTACCGCGTACCCAGGTGCAGCCAAGAAGGGGCTGGAGTCTGCCCGGTGGCTGCACGCGGTGTGTGCAGCAGCCCCTTCTGAAGGACAGGCAGAGGCGGTCGGATCCCCCGATGCAAACCACACCGCCGCGCCCTTGCGAAAAGGCGGTCGTAACTACTGCTGTAGGAACGATTGGGATCCTCTCCTCCGGGGCTTCGCCAGGCCAAGCCGCGTCCTCGATGACGAAAGGAGACGGGCCCGTTAGGTACCAGTGAGAAGTGTGTCACTCCTGCGACCCCCCACCCTCGTTTGGCTCTCTCTGTGTCGCACAGAGGACTTCGCCGGTTGACCCACCTCCGTTGCCAGGCCTACAGCCACCACCGAACAAGGCTTGCTCCGCCCTCTTCCTCTGCCCGCTGTGCCTTCTTCCCTGCACACACGAACACAGCCGCCGCCGTCCCCACCCCCAGCCCCCACCCACCTGGCCCCCACCAAGCGGTTCAGGGAAAGGCAGCAGAGACGCACGAGCTATGTAGTACCCTGGGTGTTGTTGCCTGACCCCCCTCCCTCTCAGCGCCTGTTGTCGCCCAAGAGACCACCCCAAGAGACTTACAAATGACTGCCGCGACTAGCAGCGCAGCACACCTCAATCCGTATGTCTCGTTGTTTTTCCTCTCTCTCTCTCTCCCCTTCCCCTCTCCCAGTCGTTTCTTTCTCAGTCTCTCGATTCAGGGACAGAGAAGACGCACAATACTACAGGGCCATCATCATGCAACGACAGACCAAGAGTAACGGGGGCTGGGACAGAGATATTGCGGGGTAGTACTATTGCCAGCTGCGTCCCCCCGCCGATCCTCTTGGTCTCTTCATGTCTTTGTCTCTCAGCTCTTGGTCGTTGGATCCATCGTCCATGTACAGGAGTAGTACTGCTGTAGTAGACACACCAAATGACTCAGTTCTCTATATGGTGAACTCTGGCGGATCAGGCACGCCGAAGGCGTGCTCAGGCATGCGCTAGGCAAATACTGTATATCGGAAGCAAGCAATTGTTTTCCTCCTATACATTTCAACAATGCCTCGTGCCTAGAGATGGTCTCCAAAGGTGCGCTCTGTACCCTTTAAGGCCGGTGACATTCGTATGGTATTTGCGGGATATGTGTTTTGGGACTTTATTTTCGTAGGAGATTGTGCAGCCGTGGATCTAGCAACACACACGAGTATTTCTACCTGGATGCTCGGAGAACCTGGCCGTCGCGCCATCACTAAAATATTACAGTAGAAAGAATACCATAATGGGTAGACTACACTGTACCCAGATAGAGCGAAGCGTCCAGATAAATGCCGCTGAGACATTTGACTATCTATGCATGCTTAAGGAGCCTTCGCTGACTGAGATCTTGGTGACATGGCAGGACGCGCTCCTTTCGGTAGCGGCGGCAGTCTCGTGCAGTCGCGACGGCGTAGCCATATACTTCGTAAATTTAGATAGATTGCGTGGGGCGCTAAATTGTAGTGGGCACGTGAAAGGATCGGCGTCGAAGATCGCTTGTGCCTCTAACTCTGCCCGCGTCAAAAATATTTCATGTGCAACGAAGTGTAGTTGTCAGGAAAGCCGCAATAGAAACTGGACCCCTCGAAAAGGGCTTCAGAATGGACGAGCGGTCTTTGCAAGCTCGCCCCCCCCCGCGCGCCCCCTTCGTGGCTTCTCGCCGTATGAACTTGACATCAACGTTGTAGAAGTGGCAAATACCACCTCAAAAAGGGACGTTCTCCATGTACATGCCCCTTTCCGAAACAAATTTCTTCAAGGGACTGTAAATACCGTGGTCTTGCCTTTCTCGCTCCCCTCACCGAAAGAGCACTCATGCCGCTGTGCACCACAAGTACAACGAAGCGGGATGGCCGATCGGCACATGGAATCCTCGGAGAGAACAGTATTGTGAATCATACGGAGGGCGCTTGTTCTCAAGCGCAACGTAGAAGAAAGACCAGTGCAGCCCACTCTCCCATAATCGTAAAGAGAGGAGGCGGCAAACACGGAAGACCGACGATGCGTTGTCTCCTGCGAAACTGATTGGACTTGGTGCACCTCCATGCATGCCAAAAGGGACACCGAAACATCCCTAGCGGATGCAATGAAACAACGATTTTGAAACCCCGTCATTCATGCTCCGCCCCTTCAACAGCCCCCCACTCTGCCCCCTCCGTCTACCTTCGGAAGCGAAATATATCTCGTGGACAGCATAGAACAGCCACAGATCTGTCGCCACGTACTGGTGATTCAGACAGGAAAAAACAATCTACGGCAAAAAAAAATCTGCCGTGCAGTTATTGTAGCCCCGTTGACGACGGATCTCTCGTATCGTCCGACAACAAGTTGCCAACAGAAGTTCAGGTTGTTCAGACACAAGGCACGAATGATGAAGCGCCGGGTCTTTTTATCCTGGGCAGAGTGATTCGGCGAAACCTGAGAATCAACCCCGCGCCCGTGCGATCTGTTGAGTGTCCAGCCACACGGGCCGCGGCCCAAGCAAGGAGTCACCAATAGGCGGCATTCTAGTCCTGTAGGACACCAACAACACTCGCTTGCGTGGACCAGAGCGCGACATTTCCAACGGTCGCCCTGCGTTCGCTGGGGCTTCACATCCGGCGCAATGGTCCACGTCGACACGCGGAAACCACAAATCAAAAGCAACCGCCGTGCCGACTCCGTGAACCAAACGCGACGTACCCCGCCGTCCCGGAAATAAGTGACGATCAACGCAACTGCCACCGATGGCCCCATGGCCATCGCCAGAAACCAGAATGTCGGACAATGACCCGGTCAGCACCACGGGAGAATCTCCCACCCAGAAAAACATAACGTCGGGAAATGACCGAATCAGCACCAGCAGCACCAGCACCAGCACCAGCACCACGCGGGAATCTTCTACGAGCTTATTTAGTAAAAACATCGATCACGCCCGTCGGAGGGGCGGGGCTGGGAGCCCGGGTCTGCTATGACGTGATAGCTCTGGGGTGCGCCGTTGATCGATCGATCGAAGATCACTTGAGGTAGGCCAGGTCTCTTCACTCCACTTCACTTTTCCACGTCGCCTTCTGCGGGGGTGGTTCCGTCGGTGTTGGTCACGCTCACATCCTCGTAGCCATCCCCTGCCGGTTCGGAAGAGCGCACGGCCAGAAATTATCAAAAAGCAACAACAGATCACAAAATACGGGGAGTGGGATATTGAAGACGGGGGGGAGGGGTGGCGGTGGGGTTGGGAGCTCTCTAAATTTAATATCTCCCGGGCTGCTTGCCTGAACAGAAGATGCTCTGATTGGGTTGTTTCGTGCAGGAACAAGCTCCGAGCGGGGTTCCGACGGAACCAAGCCTTAATCAACACGATCTCACGTCTGTACGCAAAACGACCTGCAGGGGGAGCAGCCCTGGGAACGAAAGTAAGTCCTGAGCTAGATACCACCAACCAAGGCCCAGTACGCCTGGCCAGTCAACCTTCGACCGCAAGGTCAAAACGGTGCGAGGCGAGCTGGGGCTACAGAAACAAGGAAACCGAACAGAGGTCTTGAGCAACCCAGCGGCTTTGATTGGACCAGCCGTGGCATGCGTTTGTGGTTGCTCCTTACGGAAACGGACCAAGCCGTCTGTCACTACAATTATGGGAGGTGCTTGGGCACAATGGACCCATAGTGCAGAGTTGATAGGCCTTGCTCTATGTACATGGCTGCAGTCCGCAAGCGGTCGCACTCGGCACGACGGTCCTGTGGCATCGCGACTGAGAACACGAACCAAGGCAAAGAAAAGAGCTACCAGTGCCCAGAAGCTGCAAATCGGGCGCAGTCACCACACAAAGCACAAGCTTGGATGGGCAAACCAACCTTATCGTCGCAAAAAAGGCAGCCTCACCAAGGGAGTGCCGCAAAGCACCCCAAAGCACAACCTCCGAAGCCGCCCACGAGGCAGACAAAATTAGCTAGGTAACTTGTATTACCACACACACATAAAATCACTGTTGTTATAATGTCATACTTTCTGCACCCCTCCTAATATGCTTTCCGATCATTCTGACGACCTCCTCGTCCTTAAACCTCGTCCCATCCCCACTTTCTTTGTTTCCCTCTCCAATCAGCGTCCGTTCGCCATGCAAGAGCATATGCCCGATAAAAAAAAATGACAGGAGAAATAAAGAACTGGGAATTTTTCTGTGGTGCGGCATATACTTCCGTGAAGGAGTGTTTCTTCACGGTGATTCCTCCGCACATGTCCGTTGACCGCGGGCGTAGACTTAAATAGCTAACCACTCGTGTACATTGTAAACTTACCTGATCTCTTGACGACGTACAAGACTTGGTCGTTGTCGATCTCCTGATCGCCAATGGTTGCTAAGTCCACTAGCTCCCTCGCCTGGAAACGACATCCGTAGGTGCGATGTGCTTGTTTGTGTGCGAAGCGAAGGCGGCGAAATAACACCATCTAAAGAGCCTTGTTGGCTACAACGAGAAAAGCACGGCTACCGCAAGATTGTGTTTGTTGAGGGAAAACTTACCCTAGACCATATGCGTATCAATCACAAAAGGTGCGTAATGTTAGTAAGTCACGGTGGTAGGTCCGGCTTCGAGGAATGCTCCGTGCACGGCAGGGAAAGGGGGACAGTATCGCACAAAAGCAATAATTCATCGAGGAGGAGAGAGTGCGGCTAACCACGAGGCACACCCCCGTACGTGGTTGTATCGCCAGAGCAACACCGGTATTTAGTCTACCAAATACTTCCAAATACATGCGTGGTAGTACTAGTACACGAACCTGCCGTTACAAACGCGTCCGGACACGTGAGCTGCTCGAACGGGGCTTGTCACAGTGTCTACCGTATCGTACCATACCGTACCGTTACCGTACCGTAGTTTTACCGTACCGTAGTTTTACCGTACCGTGCAGTACTATGGTTGTGCCACAAATGATATCGTTACCTTATCCCGCGTGGCGAAGAGGCCAATCTGTCCCTGTTCGATGTTCATGAGCTTGCCCGCCTTGGCCTTGATGGTGGCGAAGTTGTCCGCCGGCTCGCAGTGCATGAACACCGTCGTGTTGTGGCGCTTTAGCCGGATGTACCTTCGATGCAAATAGATACCGTTCGACATATGCATCCGACGCAGGAAACACCAACAGCGGTGAACTTGCTGTGTCAAAGGTCCGAATTTCGAAATCCATTCTAGCACTGCTCGGATCCGAAAAGAACAGCACGGACATCTTGATTCCGACAAGCCGTAGCAACACCTCGGTTTATGGGTGATGTACTGCTATGTACTGCAGGTTACTACAGGGGGGGGAGGGGGTACCGGGGTACCGAATGTCCATGGTGTTGCTTGCAGCCAAAACCAATTTCCCGATCCCTCTGTACCTCCCTCACGACTTGCGGAATTACTCCCAGAATTCAATTTTGATGAAATTCGGTTGCAGAGGAGTATTTCTTTCCAGTGCCTACTCCTGCCATCTGCTGTATTAGCTCTCCATCCACCACGGTTACCATCGCTACGTGCCTGTAGGACACACAGCACACGCATGGGAGCATACTGCTGCAGTACCAGGTACACGGCAACATCATGCGTTTCAGCTCACAAGCAGATTCGTACAGAAATGCAATACCGCCGCACCCTACAGCTGCTGTAGCATTATTTGTGCGCGGTGTACATGCTGGTCCATCTGCGATGTCGCAAGCCTCCACACAGCCAGCTCACATGGACATGGCTGGTCCAGATGCTCGTTCTCACTCTCGTGCCCAACCACGACCACGACCACGAATCCACCGCTGAGAGCACGAGAGCACCCTCCTTCCGCAGCTTCCTGTATTGACGTTGAAAGAACCCGCAATTCCGCAAAACCCTCACACACAAGATTGCAGTATCACGAAAGGTCGCGTACACAAGGGGAGTTGGACGGTGATGATCCAATCAAGTACCAGCCTGGTAAGAGCGATCTCCAACACCCCGATATACCCTGTGCGAGATGGCCAAGAGCACCTGAAAAGACGGACAGCAGCGTTGAGCGATGCCTTGCGATTCCAATCAAGGGGGCGACGCCGAGTCAATACTCAAACTCCATGGCAGGGGGGTGGTCTCCGTGTACACAACAGTGCCACAGCGTGTCCTGGTGTAGGCGCACTGCTGTGGTGGGTGCGCCCTGCTCTCTGGCGTCTATCCTCAGTCCTGTTCAACTCTGGCCACCCATGTCAACCAAAAGGAAAGATCCGGGAGGGGGCGGAGCCGACGGTAATGGTAGCAAGCGTAAGGTGCGCTTTCGAGGAGGCAAGGACGACAACGAAGGTGAGAGTCGGAAATCTTGCGACTATCGTCGCTGCTGCGGGGTCTCCGTGTGCTCTCCTGTATCCTACTCAAGTGGCCTGCCTGCGCGTGCTGCGAGGTGACTTTGCGGCCAGAGGAAAACCAACCGTACTCCCCGGTGACGCTCTGAAGGATTGTTATCTAAATATTGCACAACTTCCGGCGCCTTGATTTACTACCACTCAAGAATGGCGAATCGATCATCCATGAGCGAGCGCGACTCTATCCGCCTCTCTCCCGCCCGCGGCACGACCTTGTTACATCTGGAGTGCAATGAGCGGGGACTGAGGCTGTATGTGACCAATGTCCACCTCTACTTCTGCTGCTGCTGCCGTTGGAGATAGAGATATGACAAGCAATGCATTCTGGGGGCCTCGAGGCGATTGTTGCTTCCCCGCGAACATGAATATAAAGCTCCTCGCAAGTACATGGGTGTAGACTGCGCGTGCTGCCTCTATTTACAGAGCGAAACCGACAGGAGCTCCTGAGTGGTGCTGTCTCTTTTTCAAAGTGAAACCAACAACAAGGAGCTCCTGGTACGTATGCATATGATACAGCATCAGCGGAGGCGCCTACACTCGAAAGTCGTGTTTTTGTTCTTCACCTGAGCTCAAGCCGGTCGGTGAAGTCATCGCTTTGTATTACCCGTGAAGGTCGCACGAAAACTACAGTAAGACGACTACACTGCTCGTAGTACTTTAGTAGTGCAGCAGTCGTGGCTCCGATATAATATGAGAGGGTGGTGTGACAAAGGCCCTGGACCCTCTTATATCGGAGCCCCCTCTTATGCCGGAATAAGAGAGTACTCAAGTACACTGTAGAGGGTCGAAATCGTGAGAACCGATTTCGACCCTAAGGTAATCGGAGCCACGACTGTAGCTGTAAGTTGCGCCATCGTTGATGTGGCACACCACTCTAGAATCAATCGGCAGACCAATCCCTACAATAGGCGACTGCAATCAAGGCCGCTTGCCCACAGCTACGCGCAACAACCGACTCAAAGGTCTCCCGGTCCCTGATTCACCACCGAATAGCAACGAAGGAACAGGGCTCCGGCAGGAAGGCCCGCGACCACAAGAGCTCTCTCAACAGCACAGTCCGAAACGAGCACCCGATGGGCTGGTTTTGTAGATGTTCGGCAGGCGGTTGTGACGGGAAGGACGCACTGGAAACGTCCCCGGGCACTTCATGTCGTTGTTGTTTGACGACCACCCCTGTAAAAGCACCGAACGGCGTTGTTGTATTGATATTGCTGGTGAGGGTGGTCGTGTGTGTGTGCCTGCTTCCTAGAACCCGTCGCCAGGCGGGAGGATCTTTGCTGCGCTCAGGGCCGGTCGGAGACGCTCTCTCCAAAGACGAGGCGTATGTATACAACCTGGGAGGGACTTAGAAATTCAGGCTCGAAAGAAGACACGTTTACGAACTTGACCAGAAGAACGGATGCTCATCTAAGAATGATGTGCCACAATCTACTTTAGTCCCTGCTGGGTACAGGAGATAAGAAGCAAATAATAGCCTCTTCGTGCGTAAGCGCAGGCGGCGCGTTCTCTTATACAGTGCTTCCTCTCATCGCAGCACATGGTGGTACTCCTATGGGAATGTTTTGTCCCATGGCAGCACGCCAAGAGTCACTCTGGCCTGTGTCTGTACTTACCACCACCAGCGCTAACCACACCAGCATATTCTGCCAACACTTGACCCATTAACACACGCAGATGAACAAGGAAATGGTTCCAGGGGAGGGCCGAACCGCCGCGTAACCGGTGGTTCCTCCAGCCGTGCACGCGGTAGGGACGAGGAGGAGGAGGAGGAGGAGGAGGAGGAGGAGGAGGAGGAGGAGGAGGAGGAAGAGGAAGAAGAGGAAGAGGAGGAGGAAGGGGGTGGTAGGAGGAAGAAGAGCCGGAGGAAGAAGAAGAAAAGGAAAGGGCGGGGCGGGTTTGAAGACGACGAGGACGAGGAGGAAGAGGAGGACGTGGACCGGATGGTGGAGAAGGTCCACGGGGAGGAAGAGGAGGATGAGCACTACGAGCGGGTGAGAGAGAGACAGAGAGAAAGAGAAAAGAGGCAGAGGGGGGGGCGTCATCAAGGGCACCGTACTCCCTCGCCTTATGCTGGGCCTCATGAACACACTTGTGCTCGATTTCTCCACAACAAGGGTAGCGGGCTAGCTCTGATGTGATATCTTGATGCCATTTTTTTAAACTATTTTCTACGCATGATGCTGGCCGGCTTTTCGCCTTTGGCGTCGTGGCGAGTGTGACAACGTGACAACGCTTCCCGTGCCCCGCTCCCTCCGGTCTGTCTGTCTGTCTGTCCCTCTGTCCATCTGTCTCTCTTTCTGCCTCTCTATCTGTCTCCCTGTTTCTCTATCTGTCTGTCTGTCTGCTGTCTGCTGTCTGCTGTCTGTCTTGCGGGTACGGGCCCCGTTATTTTATCACGTGCCTCATGTTCTTGCCACGGTTCCATTGCTAATAGACCAACGAGGCCGGGGACCCGATCGAGCCGTTCAATCTCCGCAACGAGCGGGACATGGGCTACTTCGACACGAACGGAAACTTCGTCTGGAAGGTTCGTGTGTGTGTGTGTCTTTGGTGTAGCATCCACCGCGCCAACCGGCTGGCCAATAAAAAGAGGTCAGTCTCAGTGCGGCTGAGAACAGAGAAATGCTTCGAATGGCCATGATCTGGGACCTCGTGAGGGGGCGTCATGGCCGAGGCGCATGTATGTGCGTGCAGTTTCGCGGTTCCGTTTCCCTTTGTTTGTTGATGACAACGCAACAAAGTATCCGTGGGTTTAGCTCTTGTTTCCAACAAACGCACCGCGGTATGATGCTGGTCCGCTGTCACATTGCGGTGCTCCCATCGGGCTTGAAACCTTCGAGCTACGCAACAAGCCGTGAGTTGCTTTTTGCTTGCTAAATGGTCGCTCCTTGACTATGTTTGTATCATTTTGCTTTCTTCTACTGGCGGTCGCGCAGCAAGAAGATGGTGAGCGGGATGCCTGGTTGGCAGAGATGGACGAGGAGGCGATGGAAGAAGCCATCGGAGCAGCCAGCACGAGGTAAGAGACACGGACCGCATCCGGGGGTGGCAATCATTTGGCCGGGGCTGCATGAGGCTTGACGTATGAACTGCAGCAGTTGATTTTTCTGTGCTTCCGCAAGATACTTTGTCGGAGTACGCAGTTGCCGGCCGTTGTCAAGAACGTTCTCTCGTCACTGGAGTGTTTCGGGTGCAGCCGCCTTGTCCGCCAAGAAGCAGCTACAGGAGCAACGGCAACGGCGACGTTGTTGCTGTTTGTAGTCGACGCGCAAGGGTGTTGTGTGTGTGACGCAGGGGCACGCGTTTAGGCAGGGGGTGGAAAAGCTCATTTGCGTACACACCGCAGGCGCTCGATCTTATACCTTTGTTCCGAGCGCCGGGTCGGAACAAGTCGGAGTTTGGCAAGCAAGGGTTGCACATCGCGAAGCGTCTAATTGGAGGGGCATGGTGATTTCAAACGCGCTCTATATAGCCAGTTCAAAAGTCGGAGCACGCGCATTCACTTTTTGCAGCTGAGATCGCCAACGCACTTGGTCTGTCTTTCCACCCGAAATACAAGATGTCTTGGGGAGTGATGACGGTTGGCACCTCTCATTCTCACTTCCTCTCGTGTCACCGCCCTTATCGTTCTCATCGTTCTGTCTAACGATGTCACCCACGCGATTGGGCAGGGCGCCCAAGCCGAGCGAGGGGGCAGCAGGGGCGACGGGTGCCGCTGGTGGTGCAGTCGCCCCCCTGGGAGGGGGCGCCGCGGAATCACTCTCCGTCATGGGCACGGCAGAGGTACGCTGTACTTGCAACAACTTTTTGAGCACGTGTGCGAACCCACACGGGCACGCCAAGAGGATGCGGGAACATGTCGAAAATTCTTTCGATATCCGAACCCCAAGCTGGAAAATATCGTGCAATTTGGCGTTGAGGCTTGTTTTTTTTTTCCAGTATTACTGATATCCTTACCCGCTTCATCATGTTACCCTTGCCCGTGTCCTTGCCCTTGTTGGTGTGTTTTCTTTCGCCTTCGTCCTTGTCGGAGAGATGCGGGAGGCTCTGATCCCGCTGCTGCTGGAAGACGAGACGGTAGTGCAGGCGTTGAGGCGACTAGGGGCCAAGAAACAATCGCCATCCGCTGCAGCATCCGCAGCCTCTGCAGCTAGGGCTCGTCGTGCGAGGTACGTTACGATTGCGTCCGTGCTCTTCTCTTCTCTCCGTTGCGTTGTGCTCTTTCTTTTTTTGCGTGCGCGTGCTTCTTCTCCGTCTCGTGCCGAGCTGCTGCGGGCGTGCTTGCTTTGGTTCGTGTTTGCACATTCGTGAGAGAGAGTGCGCTCGATTGTGTTGCGTGCAGCGCATGCTGTGGAGGTTGACTGTGGACGTGCCTCCACGGTAGTCTCTTGCTCAGTGTTTCATATTTTTTCTTGCCAGTTTCGGAAATCGGGACGGCCGCCTAGCACAGCTGGCGCTGTTGTTAGACGGGTGGGTTTCAAGATGCCCCGCGTCGCCCTTCTTTCCTTACTTCGCACTCACTCAATCGCCCGCAACTCCCCTCCGGCACAATCCCACGTCACCACTTGTGGTGTTTTCGACCCATTTCTCGATTCTACGTCACCCCTTCCGGTGTTCACGGACAGTGACAAAAAGAAAGCGGCGGCGGCGGCAGCAGCAGCAGCAGCAGCAGCAGGGGAGGAGGAGTCGGGGGACCCTTCAGCCGCGGGATCTGAGCCAACGGCGGGATCAAAGGCAGGCGATGGTGACAACGACAACAGCAGCACCACTAAGAACGGCGGCGCGGAGGCGGCCGGGGGCGGACAGGGCAGTCCTGCTGGGGCAAGGTCGACGGCGGTAGAGAAGAAGCGGCGGGAGGACTTTGCGCGGCTGACGGAGCTCGCCGACGCGCTGCTCCAGGCGGGGCAGCACGATGTGTACCAGCAGACCAAGGAAGACCTGGAGGAAGCGGCTGAGGTGGCGGCGGCTAAGGCGGCGAGGGCAGCGGCAACCTCAGGTGCGGGAGGGTTAGCAGTAGTGTAGGAGACAGGCGGGAACGAAGAGCAGAGGAGCTGCGTTTTGGTTACAAGCAAGCAGAAACGAACGTATTTATCTATGGGCACAAGAAGAAAAACATACCAAGAGATTGACAGGGAAGTAAGGGTAGGGTAGGAGAAGCCGTGAACGAAGAGCAGAGGAGTTGCGTTTTCGTTACGGTCGTGGCTGCGAGGGGGCTCCGATATAAGGGGGTTGAGGGCCTTTGTCACACCACATTCTTATATCGGAGCCACGGAAGTGCGTACGATACCAGAGACGAAGGCATCTATCTGCGGGCAGAGAGAGAAGGGCAGCAGAGACAGGCAGGGAGAGAAGGAGACAGACAAGACACAAGCAGCAACGCTCCCTGCCTCCGACAGGTCTTTGATTGTGGAACTCGCTCGCTCTCGTATCATGTCCCCCTTTGCTCAATTCCGGAGCGGCGTATTGGTCTCGCGCTTAGCACGCCTACGCTGTATGCAACCGCTGTACCCCGTTTTCTAGCCGTGTTGTTCAAGTTTCTCCTCGCGCGTTTTGATTGCTCCTCTCCCCAACCTATGCCCGCTCGACGCCACAGCTTCCTATTTCGGGGGGGGCAATGGCCAACAGCAACAGCAGATGATGATGATGCAAATGCAGCAGCAACAGCAGTGGATGCAGCAGCAGCAGCAGCAGCAGCAGCAGCAGAGTCAATCCACAGGGGCTGGAGAAGAGAGCGCGTACTTCGAATACCGCGGGAAGGACGGAAACGTGCATGGGCCCTATGGGGCGTCTCAGATGCGGGGGTGGGCGCAGCAGGCGAGTCACTGTTGCGTTTTTGTTGCTGCTGCCGCTGTTGCTGTTTGTTTTTGCCGTTACTCCAATACCCAACTAAGCAGCACTTTTTTGTTGTCGGTTGGGGAGCAGGGGCTCATGCATTTGCTGCCACCCCGTGGAATCACGAGCCCCCCGCCCCCCAACTGTTATATGGGATTGGAGTACAAGGCACCCGGGTTGCAAGTTCCCACAAAAAGCGTTTTTTTTTTATTACGACAAGGCATCGATCACGCGGAGCCCCTACAGCGGCCAGATTATATGGGACAGGTCGGTGTTCGTCAACAACTCCGGCTGTAGTGGCGATCGAAAATGCTGCCAACCTTCTAGAGCAACCTTAGGCATGTCTCTACAGCGTGGTGCCATAAAAAAAACTGGACTGCGTCGTTTTTTGAAGGTGTATAGAGCGTTGAAGGTCGAATTTCGGGGGGACTTGGCTGAGAATCCAAACAAAATGGGAGGTAGACAAGTGGGTCGTGTTTTGTCGATATATAGGCGATAGAGTGGGCTACAGTGCTTCACCGGAATGACCCTCGTAGTGGCGATCCCAAATTGCCCCAACCCCTCAATGCTACCTATGCCTATGCCTATGTAATCCACTCGGGCGAAGTCTCGAGCGAGTTCGTGAACTCCTTCGCGCGTGTAGAGCAGCGTGAAGTTTGATGCTGACAGCTGTGGAACGGGCTGGAAGCAGCAGCTCTGTCGCTTTTGATCGCACGGTATTTGCCAGGTTTAGAGCGAAACCAGGGCAAACCAAATGTCTGCGTGTGTAGAACACAACATGCTTGAGGTATCCTACAGATTTCATGGCACGTAGCCATCTGTGTGAGGAGCACCAGCAGTGGCAAAGGTCTGCAACAGATGGTGCGCTGGGCAACTCATCATGGGGGCTTTCCCGGGGTACCATCGATTTTCGCGGAGCCCCTTTGTCATATGTTTTTTTGTTTTTGTGTGACTTGCGACCGGGTGAAGGATCCGAACGGTAGTTCTAGGCAAAATATTTAGATCCGGCGGGAATTGCAACCCCCTAGGAGTATTGTTGAAGAGCGGATATGGCCATAGCGGCCCCTTCCTGCAAGGAGAGCTCCGCGCTCCTTCCTGTTGAGTCTATCCCAAGCAAGGGATCAGCAAGTGCGCTGGTGTGTCCAGAGATGACCCAAGAGAACAAGAAACGTGTATGCAAGTGGTTCACATTGGAGGGTCTTCAGGGTTTGCTACGCGTGTGAACCTCGCACCGTTTAGCAATCCCTGAAGACCCTGATGTGACTCATTTGTGTACACATTTTTTGTTCTCTTGATAATCTCTGAACACAGCAGTGGACTTGCTGATTCCTTGCTTGGGATAGACTGAACAGGAAGGAGCGTGGACCTCTCCTTGCAGGGAGAGGCCGCTATGGCCATACGCCCTCTTTAACAGCATTCCTACAGGAGTTGCAATTCCCGCCAGATCTAAATATCTTGCCTAGAACTACCGTTCAGATCCTTGTACTCAAATCCCATAACCACTTCACATCAGTGCCAGCAGAAACTTCCACAATCCAGCAACAGCCGGCCCCGGGTCAGGGCACACAATCCGACAGCACAACAGTATCACACATCAATTTCGACTTTCGCCAAAACTAGCCTCGTGGAGGATCCCAAATGCTGGTAGACGAATGGAGAGATGAGCAGCTCGTACGAAGCAGCTGCTGTGTCTGTGATGTACTCTGTATGTACAACCTGTTTCGTAGTCAAGCTCGAAGCTTATCGCCCAGAGGCAGAGGCTGCTTTTGGGAGCCCTTGTTTTTGCTCTCCCAAATCCCAGATATTGTAGGGTAGTTTGGACCAAGTGTGTTGAGTGCATGCGTGTTAGCTCTGTCGCTAGCAAAACAGAGTGAGTGCTGGCTAACGCCGGGCGTATGGAGCTGGTGCGTTTCGACCGGCTGGTCAGCGGCGATGACAATATGTTGGTGGTCTCCGTCCGGGTTGTATTTTTTTTTTTCCCGGCTGTCCGACTACGCAAGAGTCAATTGCACCGCTTTTTTTTCTTTTTGCCTTTCCGATATCATTTTGTTTCCCCCCGCAAAACTTGTTACGCTTCGTTCTTGTGTTTACCGTTCTCTCCGCCGTTTCTGTGTTCCGCGTGTGGAACTTTTTTTTTTATGTCCATTCGCTTTTCCCGTGTTGGTTTCAACCTCACGTGTTTTCTGTCACTGTCACTCACCCTCCGCTTGGTTCCAAACCGTCTCGTTTTGACTCTTCAGGGCTACTTCGATGGGGAGCAGGCGGTCATGATGCGACGAGTCCAGCCCAAGAATGGAGAGGTAAATCGCGTGCCATATACTTATACAGACGGCAAACTGGGCGTTCGATTGTCGCAGTGGCAAATGGATCATCACTCAAGCTACTACGTAGCCGCGGGAATGAATGTGTGTGTGTTGTCCCTGTTTTTGTGTGTTCACTTTGAGTTTTTGAGCGTTACCTACGCTCAGGCCGATCTGGGTGGGTTACTTTAGTGGTGTACTCTCTCTCCGTCTGTAGCTGATTTCTCCGCGGTCAACAAACACAACCGCTCACGCCTCGAAAGGCATCGTAGGTGTTCCGACTTCGGCGTGCCACAGAAGATGCATCTTAAGAACGATTCCCTCTTTTGAAAGGACCTTCTTCAGCTGGTACCAGTCCGTAGTGCCCCTCGCAATCTTGACCCAGACCGCTCATCTTGCAAGCGAGAGATTTCCTCGCTATTTGGCTGGGGAAGCAGCGCTACCGTCTACGACACAAGATAACACACCCCGTGGACCGATTTACAAAGCTCGATTACGCCACGACGAAGAACATGATTTAACGAAACGATACATTCTCGGAAAGCTTTCGTCGACGAGAGGGCGTCAACTCCGCCGTTTTCGTCGCTGCGACTGACTCTTTCTGCCGTTGAGAAATCGAGCTTTAAAATCGATCCAGGGGGTGTGTTATCTCGTGTCGTGTACGGTGGTCACCTCTCTCAAACCAGCCATCTTTAGACACCCGAAAACGCGACGACCATCAACGCCCCTGCTACCCATCCCTCAGGCTACTACTAGCACCAACGGCGGCACGTCCAAGCAGGCAGAGGGGACACCTGCAAAAGATCCCCCGTCTTCGAATGCCGATCTCATGGCGGATCTGCATGATGATGACGACGAGGAAGTGGAGGAGGAGGACAAGAAGGAAGGGAAAGGAGAAACCGCCGCCAGCGGAGAAGGAGAAGGAGACGCCTCTAGAGGACCCGGGAAAACCAGTAGTCAGGAGGAATGGGTCTTGTCCGACAACATAGACTGGACTTCGTTCTGACCTTGATTAGACTATGGTGAATGCGCACACTTGCTTGTCCCCTGCTGGTTCTCGAACAGTCTGGACTTTGAATATTTAAGAGTGTCATTTTTGCTGTTTGCCCTCGCGAGGAAGTTGGTTCGTTCTGTGGTTGGTGGCTTTTCCTGCCAGAAGCCAACCTGGGGAAGAGCTACGCGGGTGTGTGCGGGCTGTGTTCGGAAGCATGCAGCCCGAGGGAGGAGGGAGGGGGGCCTACCCGCATGCACTATTTATAGAGACGTGGCATGATGTTATTTGCCGGCGGTGGTTGTATAAGGTTGTAAGATACATTGCGGTGGAAACTGGGACCATTATACTGTGGCTTTGCAACTTGCAAACTCTCGAACTACGTCGCCGAAGCACACAGCTGTAACTTGGAAGCAGCAATCAAGCATTCTGAAGATATTCTCTTCTCTACCATAGCATAGAGCGCGACGGAAGCTTCCAAATTTGTTGTTCAATGCGCGCCCTCTCGACAAGGAACGAAATGCAGACGAAACGCCCAATCATTCTCGTCGCGTTGTCGGTCTCCAGTTCACCCTCTCCTTACCATCGACTACAGATAGAGAGACGAGAGAAAAGCACGCCGCCAGGATGTGGCAAGAAGACAAGACAAGACAATACTGCGAGTATCCCTCACCAGTATTTCGTAGCCCTCCTCTGTGCAAGAAGAGGTCAGCCAACAGAGGTGACCACCCATATGCATACGGCCGCGCATTCCCGTAACGACGTTGGAAAAATTCAACTTGAAAACTAATGGACCATGGGTCGGTTAGGTTGGCGCTAGGAACACAAAAAAATGGTGTGTTAGGTTGGCGCCAGGAACTAACACAAAAAAAAGTGGGTTTGAGATCGATCGTGATGTGGAGGGCAGGAAACCTACACTTGCGAAAGGAGAAGGGCGAGTCACGATCTGTAGGTCTCTTGCTTGTCGTTTGACTTGACCACCAAGAAACCTTACTATGGATACCATACGACACTCCCGAAAGTCACCTACGGAGAGGGGGAGTCGGAAGTCTTCGCACTTCTCTACCTACCCTCTCCCCCTGCGGTGTCCTTTTCTCTTTTTCCGAGACCTGCTTGCCAAATCTCAAGAAAATACAACTAACTAGTCTGCCAGCCCCCGGTTGGGGGTAGATAGACTACCCGCCGCCTCGGTCTCCTTCCAGGGAGGGAAGGAAGCCTGTATCCTTGGTGATTTTTTCGTTAAGTAAATGCTCTCTCCAATTTTTTTGCGTTACCTCGAAGCCAGGAAATTAAAACGGAGCTCTGCTGGAAACCCAGACAACGCGTCATTTGGTCTTCCGACCAATCAGAGCTCGACCGGTTTGATTTTTTCTTTGGTTTCATTTTTCGATCTTCGTTAGAGTACACGGCCTATTGCATATAACCAAAAATTGGTATTACTTGTAGTCGATATCGACTTTGCCACTCGTTCATGTACAAACCCCGCCTTTGTTGCCGCCCCGTTTCGGCGTGCGAGCGGGTGGCGCCACCATGGTGGAACGAGTCCACCACACAGCAATGGGGTTTGTGCATGACCCAACAAAAAACAAAAATAAAAAGTCACACGGCGTGGACTAGACTAGACCAATCAAACAAGAAAAAGCAAAGAGGGCAAAAACACGAACTAACACAAAAACGTAGATACAAGCCAAGCCAAGCCAGGACACGGACCACCACACGCCCTAAAAATGCCCCATAGCGTTCGTCCTCCAAGATACCATAACAACGACGACCTACTCTTGTTGCATTTTTTCAGGGGGGGTGGGGGGTGGGGGGTGCATTTGGTTGCACCATCCTCAATCTATGGGATCCATCCACAAGAGTAACGGGCGACATGACGTCACAAAAAAAAATTAGACCCCGTCGACGCCGCCGCTGATTTTTTCAAGGTAACCCTGACCCTTGGTGGTGGTTTCTACGCCATGATCGAGAGAGACAAAGAGAAACGGCAAGAACGGGAATCCTGCTGTACTCAACCCCCCCCCCCCCGTCCTTGGCCCCACGATGTCGTCCATGGGCCCCCTGTTGGAGCTCGCGGAAAGAACAGGAGTACCCTCACACTCTCTGTCGGGTGGGGACCACGTACCCACCACATGTCTTCGCGAAGCCCTACTCTTGCCAGTTCGACAGTAGAGAACCAGACAGGTTGCTGCCGCTGTCGCTGCGTGATTTCACGTCATGCCGGCGGCTGCTGCAACGCGTTCAGTTGATGATCTCGCCTCTTATGCACACGCATAACACGAATTCATCATCACCCAAGCCCGTTGCACCACTACCCTCATTGGCCGGTCGACGAACAATAACATCGCACGGCAACAACAAGAACAGCGATGTTGTAGAACGGCCAACCCTGTCGACGTGTCGACGGACCCTCCCCCCTCTGGTCCTGGCTGCGCCCCCCCCCCCCCCCCCCTGAATAGGGATGGGAGTGTGAGGGATGAAGAGATCCCGAAATTATAAAATTTAAAAAAGGGGAAGGGGGGACCTTACGGGGGGGGAGGGGAAATTCAAGAAATTAACGAAGCGAACACCAAAGCGCAGGTTTGGGACCCAAAATGGAAATAGCCGTTCCAGAAATCAAAATTTGGAACCCCTGTTGTTACTCCCCCCCC